CATAGAAACCGATGCACAGCACTTTTAACTTAACTTGGCACAGATGGTGCAGGATCGCCACATCGAACTTGTCTTTATATCTTTGTTCATTTGGTTCATGGAAAAAAAGCAACGTTATTTACACCACAAGTCTGATGTATTTCCCTTTAATCCCACCCCTTTCTGTGCCTGTACGAGAATAGGATTCTTCAGTAGGGCCGTCCATGATTTTGTTTGGGTGGAATCCTGAGTGTATATTCCAATACTGGAATAATATCACCCACATGAGGTGAGATGGCCCCATAAGGAAAAGATACCTTGGCCCCTGCTATACCTCGTACTCACCTGGTGCTGTGAACAGAGGCAGCTGCTCCTCTTGCTGTTAGCGGTGCATTAAGCCCCAGCACTTCCTCTTCCATGTTGGTGTCCTGTGAGGCCAGAGGTGCGTTCAGTTGCTCAGCCGCTGCGAGCGCTGAGTTAAACTGCCGCTGAATGCTGTGCTGCAAGTCAGCGCTCAACACTGCTAACTTAGCACTTGCAGCGGAAAAGGATGCAGAGCACTGAGTGTTGGGGCCCATTTACACTAGATGCAGTGCGTTCTGGCGAGAACGCACTGCCTCGCATTGCGGCAGGCTCACTTTTTAGTGGGGCAGGAAGGGGCGTGGTGGGCCATTCAAGTGAATGGTAAGGCACATTGTGCCTGCAGTCCGGTCCGATGCGATAAAAATAGTGCTTGCAGCATTTTGATCACACCGGACTGCAGGCACAATCCACTAAAAAGTGAGCCGGCCGCAATGCGAGGCAGTGCGTTCTCGCCAGAATTGGGCCGGAACGCACTGCATCTAGTGTGAATGGGCCCTGATGGGGAAGGCGGGGACATAGCACCAGCAGCCATTTTAACTGTGGGCACACCTGGCAGCGCTGGAGAAAGATGCCTGAACCCCGATGGAGGAAATCGATTCAGCGTGGGAACCTACAATTTCATCTGTTGGTGGACGAGCACATCAAATATTCATTGGAAAATTGTATTTATTAGTCAAAAATATCCTCCGCCATTTTGCTTATCACTGCAGCTGAAGGGCTCAGTAAAGCTACTGCAGCAAACAGAAGCACTGCAGGACAGCTACTCAACGCTTGGCTAAGGAACTAAACGCACCTCAGTGCTTTGTGCAGCCACTAGGGGGCACAGGTCGGTGACTGCCTTTAAGGACACAACAATGTGGGTTATCTCTGCTTCCCATAGTGCTGAATCAGGACGTGGCTGGGCAATGCAGAGGAAGAAAAGGCTTCCATCTCAGCTGTGGCTACTCCCCTTCACATAGCATGGCACCCACGGCATTGCCTTTTTCTAGCCCTGATGGTCTCTGTCCCCTATGCAAATGTGGGAGCATAATGACATACTAATAGGGAGGAGTGGAAAGCCAATGACCTCTGGTCCATGCAGCTGCAAGAGCTGAACCCAAGAGGTGCTAAAGAATCCCAGGTCCTGCTAGTATGCGGCCTGCACAGCAGCAAGGAGACCGGGATAAGAAATAAGACGCATAGTTTTGCAGGTGTGCAATCATGCACATTATTGTTAATTTACAATTTCACCTCTTGTGTACTATGAAAAAAAGTGCCTTTGCGTCTTTTTTAAACCACCTGAGTAAAATTGAATGCCCTAATGAAAACAATGACAGTGTCTCTGTGCAGTATCCATAGGCTGCTATACAGGGGATGCCTAAAAATATACAAACTCAGGACTTGGAGCAACTTCCTGAACAAAAACCGTGAGACAAACACACAAGGAGGAGAATGAAGAAATTGACGTAATTCTGAGTCTGATGAAGGGGACCCCATGAGGCCCCGATTGCGCTTGCATTGAATGGCAATGTGTCATTAAATGGACTATTGCTTAACTACTACTATGGTGTGCTGGTGACATTTTGTCTTCATTTGTGTTATTCACGGTGCCGTCCGTGGTCACTACAAGCACCCACACATTTGCACGAGTCTCTTGGATATTCCGGTATGGAGTTCAGCAAGACCTCTGGTTCTTACCACTCCTGATGAAGTCTGAGGGGAAACGTGCACAGTGGGGTTCTTCTGAACACTGTGACATCATTGGGGGACACTCACCCTCACAGCACCAGAAAGGTAACACTCAGCAATCGGAGTCATTGCTTTGTGCTGGGCGAGAGCACGCTGAACTTTTTCAAATACAGTTTGTTTGCGCAGTGAACGTCTTATGCTCCTCTTTTATGGGTTTTACAGCGGGGTGTGTTTGCAGCGGCGTCACTCGGTGTGCGCATCATTACTTGTACATGTGATTTAATGACACCACTGATGGTGGTAATCTTGCTGATGGACGCTGGCAAAGAATGAAGGGGACGTTCATCTGGTGGGATAAGGTATGCCGCTGGGTCCCCTCCTCTCTTGTACAGCTGTTGGGCTCTCAGTCTATGAACGAGTGCCCGACTTTTCAGAGGGGGTGACACCAAAATGACCGTCAGTCATTATGGCGTCACCCGGTGTGCGCATCATTACATATACATGTGACATCATTACTCACGCATGCCAGAGGGGACGTTCATCTGGCGGATAAGGAATGCTGCAGGGGTCCCCCCCTTCTCTTTTCTGCAGCTGTCGAGCTCTCAGTCCATGACCGAGTGTCTTTTTTTTCCAGATAGGGTGACACCAAAAGTACTTGTTAATCATTTTGGTGTCACCCGGTGCGGACCCCACCCCCCTTGTGACGCCGCTGTGTGTGCTTGTTAAGGAGTTCTGGAGCATATCCAACTTTCCTGGGATCTGTATGGAAAAGGGAAAACAGGCATTTTTGAACTGCTTATTCATTTACGGCAACAGTAGGCAACTTGGGCACTCCAGCTGTTGTGGAGTAACAAGTCTCATGAGGCATTGCAAGACACTGACAGTCACAGGATGACTGAAGCATGCTGGATGTGGGAGGGGTTACTGTCAGCGTGCCATTCACCAGAAACATGATTTTAGCACCTTTTATAAAAGGGACATTTTTTGATGTGAGGGTTGTGCTGGACTTTTATCTCTTTGAAATGTTTGTGTATCTATAAATCCTTGAGTACACTGCTCCCCATCATCTGCCTTTGGGCATGCTTAGTGCCTGGTACATAACAGCGCCCTGCAGTATATCAGACGGCCGCTAGGGGCGCTGGTACACCCCGTGCCGTATAGAGACAGGACGCTCTGGGACGTCACTGGGAAAACGGAAGCGGAATTGTTGTTTGCGGTCCGGTGATTAAAAGAAACGTAGACGGAAGGTTGGTGTACGGTCATATCGGGGTGTATGTCGTGTAAGGGGGGGATTTCTTATAGACACCTGAAATGCAGGACATCACCGGGTAACAGATGGTGGTAGAATGGCAGAGAGGACAGGAAGTGTGTGATATGTCATAGTGCTACATTGTATCAGGTCATTCTAGAGATCGGAGGGCTGGATGTGATGTCATTGTAGAGATCGGAGGGTGGGATGTGATGTCATTGTAGAGATCGGAGGGTGGGATGTGATGTCATTGTAGAGATCGGAGGGTGGGATGTGATGTCATTGTAGAGATCGGAGGGCAGGGTGTGATGTCATTGTAGAGATCGGAGGGCAGGGTGTGATGTCATTGTAGAGATCGGAGGGCAGGGTGTGATGTCATTCTAGAGATCGGAGGGCAGGATATGATGTAATTGTAGAGATCGGAGGGCAGGATATGATGTCATTCTAGAGATCGGAGGGCAGGGTGTGATGTCATTGTTGAGATCGGAGGGCAGGATGTGATGTAATTGTAGAGATCGAAGGGCAGGGTGTGATGTCATTGTAGAGATCGGAGGGCAGGATATGATGTCATTCTAGAGATCGGAGGGCAGGGTGTGATGTCATTGTAGAGATCGGAGGGCAGGATATGATGTCATTCTAGAGATCGGAGGGCAGGGTGTGATGTCATTGTAGAGATCGGAGGGCAGGATATGATGTCATTCTAGAGATCGGAGGGCAGGGTGTGATGTCATTGTAGAGATCGGAGGGCAGGATATGATGTCATTCTAGAGATCGGAGGGCAGGGTGTGATGTCATTGTAGAGATCGGAGGGCAGGATATGATGTCATTCTAGAGATCGGAGGGCAGGGTGTGATGTCATTGTAGAGATCGGAGGGCAGGATATGATGTCATTCTAGAGATCGGAGGGCAGGGTGTGATGTCATTGTAGAGATCGGAGGGCAGGATATGATGTCATTCTAGAGATCGGAGGGCAGGGTGTGATGTCATTGTAGAGATCGGAGGGCAGGATATGATGTCATTCTAGAGATCGGAGGGCAGGGTGTGATGTCATTGTAGAGATCGGAGGGCAGGATATGATGTCATTCTAGAGATCGGAGGGCAGGGTGTGATGTCATTGTAGAGATCGGAGGGCAGGATATGATGTCATTCTAGAGATCGGAGGGCAGGGTGTGATGTCATTGTAGAGATCGGAGGGCAGGATATGATGTCATTCTAGAGATCGGAGGGCAGGGTGTGATGTCATTGTAGAGATCGGAGGGCAGGATATGATGTCATTCTAGAGATCGGAGGGCAGGGTGTGATGTCATTGTAGAGATCGGAGGGCAGGATATGATGTCATTCTAGAGATCGGAGGGCAGGGTGTGATGTCATTGTAGAGATCGGAGGGCAGGATATGATGTCATTCTAGAGATCGGAGGGCAGGGTGTGATGTCATTGTAGAGATCGGAGGGCAGGATATGATGTCATTCTAGAGATCGGAGGGCAGGGTGTGATGTCATTGTAGAGATCGGAGGGCAGGATATGATGTCATTCTAGAGATCGGAGGGCAGGGTGTGATGTCATTGTAGAGATCGGAGGGCAGGATATGATGTCATTCTAGAGATCGGAGGGCAGGGTGTGATGTCATTGTAGAGATCGGAGGGCAGGGTGTGATGTCATTGCTCATGTATGTGATATGTTTGTCTGTGAAGGTGACTGCTGACAGATGTTTTCCTTACAGGTCATCAGCCATGGTGTGCATCCCCTGCATCGTCATCCCCATCCTCTTGTGGGTCTACAAGAAGTTCTTGGAGCCCATCCTCTACCCCTTCATATCTCCCTTCATCAGCCGGATCTGGCCAAAGAAAGCCGTTCAGAGCATCCCGCCCGCGGGGAGCAAAGACCAAGGGGAGTGCAACGGCAGCAGTAAGGTATGTGGGGTTGTATGATGGAGTCTAAACATGGCCACCCTGCTGGAGTCCCGCCACAGCAATCCCACTTTCTCATAAGATTAACGCATGGTACCAGGCAATGCAACTACCATGCGTTATAGTGCAGCAGGATTGTTGTATTCCCATTCATTTCAATGCCACCCCAAATGCACCTCCTCCCACAATGCAATCCACTGCGTCGCAACCCATAGTACCGCATTGCATCCAGGAGGAGCATTTGGGATTCCATTGAAATGATTGGCAACGCACCTTCTGCACTGTTAACATACGTTAGGTGCATGGCCCCGGTACCGTGCGTTAATTCCATGGAACTGTGCAGAGCTGGGGGTGGGCAGACTTTGTCACTGGTTGTTAGGACTGCCCAGCAGTCCTAGCAACCAATGACTGCGGAGGACCCATGACGTGGTCTGGAAACGGACCGATCACCAACCAGTGCTGGGCTATGGCTTGCAGAGAATGAACCAGCCATGGAGGTCAGCCAGCCATAAATGCGTGCAGGTTGGTTCATGTGCGGACCATGAGCACGGACTGCCACAGACCAAGGGCCGTAGAGCGCGGTTGACCATGGGCCGTAGAGCACGGCAGACCGAGGGCCGTAGAGCGCGGCAGACCGAGGGCCGTAGAGCGCGGCAGACCGAGGGCCGTAGAGCGCGGCAGACCGAGGGCCGTAGAGCGCGGCAGACCGAGGGCCGTAGAGTGCCTTGGTCTGCTTCAACTCCTTCACGCAATCACAGGTGCAGATGCCTCCGGGATCCATCATCCCCCTCCAGTCTCACGTGGCACATACAAGGCTGCACTCTGTTCTCTTTCAGGCTAAGAACAACTTTATTGTTCAATAATCATGAACACTATCACCACAACCCACTCCTTCCACTACACTTCACTTCCACTAGGGGGCAAAATGTGTCATTGGAAGCAGTGGGTTGGGGTGTCAATGTATGTTTTGCTGCCTAATGCTGACCGATGTAACTGAATATCACCTCCCCTGTTCTGAAATGACAACCTCTGCAGAGGCACAATGACAGCTCAGCTGGTGGTTCTGTTTTGTAAATATACCCTTATGATCAATGTGATTGGCTCTCATTGACCACCGGATTGGGAACAAGAGTGCTTCCCAATCATTCTAGACCAGGGTACGAATGCCATCATGCCTCTGGGAGTCATGGCTGTGGCTGGCAGAGTCTTGCAATGCCTCATGGGACTTGTAGTTGCAGTGCTGAGGTTGCCTACCCTGGACCTCCACAGTCAGCGTTGGAGGAGCAGAGAGGGGAATCCCTGTGGACTGACATTCACTGCATGGAGAAGACCGTGGTCAGCAGTTTGTGATCACTCAGTTCTCATTCTATAGAGCCAACATGGGGCAATTGCAGTTTCACTCATCGGCTCTAACCATGGGGATGAGTGCATTTCACTCTCCCAATACTTCTCCTTTAAGGCAACCTATTCATTATGAATGGGCTCCCAATACAGCAGAAAGGGTTAAAAAAAAAAAAACTTACAACACTTTTAAAAAAAATGCTGCACACCACAGCAGATGGTACATGCGTTGTGGTGCAGTGCGTCGGAACATACTGTACAATGCATTGGGATGCCATTCACAATGAATACCACTGCAGCCCAACATAGAGCAGGTTAATTTCCATGCATTGGAGTAACGTGCGTTTTGAGTGTGAATGGGGCCTTTGTGGTTACTGACCTACAAATCATTACATGTAAAACTAGGCATGCACCGATACTGAGTACTCGCCCAAATGCTCCGATACTTTCCCCTCGATAACGGAACTTCCGGTCAGAGGAATATTTCTTCAGAGAGACAGGCAGTGCCGTAGGGGAACATGGAGCCAGCTTCCTGTGCGATCAGGTGTCAGCGGCAGGAATGGTACCCCCTTGTTGGTGTCAGGGGGAGGAATGGTGCCCCCTTGTTGGCGTCAGTGGGAGGAATGGTGCCTCCTTGTTGGCGTCAGTGGGAGGAATGGTGCCTCCTTGTTGGCGTCAGTGGGAGGAATGGTGCCTCCTTGTTGGCGTCAGTGGGAGGAATGGTGCCTCCTTGTTGGCGTCAGTGGGAGGAATGGTGCCTCCTTGTTGGCGTCAGTGGGAGGAATGGTGCCTCCTTGTTGGCGTCAGTGGGAGGAATGGTGCCTCCTTGTTGGCGTCAGTGGGAGGAATGGTGCCTCCTTGTTGGCGTCAGTGGGAGGAATGGTGCCTCCTTGTTGGCGTCAGTGGGAGGAATGGTGCCTCCTTGTTGGCGTCAGTGGGAGGAATGGTGCCTCCTTGTTGGCGTCAGTGGGAGGAATGGTGCCTCCTTGTTGGCGTCAGTGGGAGGAATGGTGCCTCCTTGTTGGCGTCAGTGGGAGGAATGGTGCCTCCTTGTTGGCGTCAGTGGGAGGAATGGTGCCTCCTTGTTGGCGTCAGTGGGAGGAATGGTGCCTCCTTGTTGGCGTCAGTGGGAGGAATGGTGCCTCCTTGTTGGCGTCAGTGGGAGGAATGGTGCCTCCTTGTTGGCGTCAGTGGGAGGAATGGTGCCTCCTTGTTGGCGTCAGTGGGAGGAATGGTGCCTCCTTGTTGGCGTCAGTGGGAGGAATGGTGCCTCCTTGTTGGCGTCAGTGGGAGGAATGGTGCCTCCTTGTTGGCGTCAGTGGGAGGAATGGTGCCTCCTTGTTGGCGTCAGTGGGAGGAATGGTGCCTCCTTGTTGGCGTCAGTGGGAGGAATGGTGCCTCCTTGTTGGCGTCAGTGGGAGGAATGGTGCCTCCTTGTTGGCGTCAGTGGGAGGAATGGTGCCTCCTTGTTGGCGTCAGTGGGAGGAATGGTGCCTCCTTGTTGGCGTCAGTGGGAGGAATGGTGCCTCCTTGTTGGCGTCAGTGGGAGGAATGGTGCCTCCTTGTTGGCGTCAGTGGGAGGAATGGTGCCTCCTTGTTGGCGTCAGTGGGAGGAATGGTGCCTCCTTGTTGGCGTCAGTGGGAGGAATGGTGCCTCCTTGTTGGCGTCAGTGGGAGGAATGGTGCCTCCTTGTTGGCGTCAGTGGGAGGAATGGTGCCTCCTTGTTGGCGTCAGTGGGAGGAATGGTGCCTCCTTGTTGGCGTCAGTGGGAGGAATGGTGCCTCCTTGTTGGCGTCAGTGGGAGGAATGGTGCCTCCTTGTTGGCGTCAGTGGGAGGAATGGTGCCTCCTTGTTGGCGTCAGTGGGAGGAATGGTGCCTCCTTGTTGGCGTCAGTGGGAGGAATGGTGCCTCCTTGTTGGCGTCAGTGGGAGGAATGGTGCCTCCTTGTTGGCGTCAGTGGGAGGAATGGTGCCTCCTTGTTGGCGTCAGTGGGAGGAATGGTGCCTCCTTGTTGGCGTCAGTGGGAGGAATGGTGCCTCCTTGTTGGCGTCAGTGGGAGGAATGGTGCCTCCTTGTTGGCGTCAGTGGGAGGAATGGTGCCTCCTTGTTGGCGTCAGTGGGAGGAATGGTGCCTCCTTGTTGGCGTCAGTGGGAGGAATGGTGCCTCCTTGTTGGCGTCAGTGGGAGGAATGGTGCCTCCTTGTTGGCGTCAGTGGGAGGAATGGTGCCTCCTTGTTGGCGTCAGTGGGAGGAATGGTGCCTCCTTGTTGGCGTCAGTGGGAAATGTGATGATATACAATAATATCCCCCAAATACTGTTGTGGAAATTCGCTTGGGCTAAACGCACAAATCCCTGCCGCATTAAAAGTGCACCAAACACAAACACATTTCCCCGTGCTTAAAAGCACGTGTATTAAGCTCTTTTGTGCAAGGAAAGGCAACAATCATGCAGAGTCAGACGAGAGGCTTCAAGCTGGAGATCTGTGTTCAAGTCTCTGTCTCTCCCCCACCACAGCAGCTCTTTTATTTATATCTCAACAAAAGGATCACAAACAGGAAGTGACAAAACAGGAAGTGATGTCAACAACCAACATCACTTCCCCAATACACCAACATAACATAGCCAGCCAACAACACACATGTATACAATAGAAAAGGGAGTGTATGTCTGTATCATAGTAGAAGTGGTGTGCACAGCCCATAAACCCGTGTGCATAGCCCATAAACCGTGCGCACAGCCGCATGTTTTCCTAGCCGCCATCTTTCCAGACCCACAAACACAATCTCCCATTTACACTGGAGCGAACTTTATCCAGCACTGCTCAGTGAGCAAGGTTACTATGATTCCTATGAATGGAAGCTTATCTGCAGGGACAATGCCATACCATTTCCAGCGTGCTGATCAGACGCATCAGAAATACGAACGCACGTTCCTTTCAAAAAGGCAGATATGTATCTTAAATAATACTATGTCCTCAAAGCAAGTGCATCCACGCCAAGCCAATAAATCCGCGTATCGCGCAGGGGCCCTAGCCGGCGTCCATACACGCGCTGAGAGAACATTGCTCCGCCACGCATATCCACAGGAAGATATCCACTCCAATGGTTTACCCTCAGTGCCGATTTAATCCGGGTCACGCTCCAATCCCGACACTGACAGACATGATGACAATATTCACATATACAATATATCAAAAACACATCCTAATAACATTTCCACCACAATACTATAAGGAATTAGAGACGTGTCCACATGTGGGAGTCTGATTCTTTCCTGATATTCATTTGTCTCCATTATTAACTCATACTGGTTCTCTTCACAGCCGGCCAGTAATGGAGCCGTGAACGGAAGTGTCACTCACACACAGGAAGAGACCTCCAATAAAAAGACGGACTGAACCGAGCTCAGCGCGTGGAAACGAGGGACTAGAACTTCCCGCGGACCTCCCCTCACACTGCGGAATGAATAGGACTTTCTATTTATTATAAATGTAACAATCTTTGTATATATATATAAATGACATTCCAGAGTTTTATTCATTGTAAATGACGGATTCACATGAGACAATAAATACAATGTAGCAGATTATATACTACCTCTGCCTTCCAGATCTCGTGTCTATGGGCGGTGCCTTCCATCCATGATCAGATCTCGTGTCTATGGGCGGTGCCTTCCATCCATGTTCAGATCTCGTGTCTATGGGCGATGCCTTCCATCCATGATCAGATCTCGTGTCTATGGGCGATGCCTTCCATCCATGTTCAGATCTCGTGTCTCTGGGTGCTGCCTTCCATCCATGATCAGATCTCGTGTCTATGGGGGATGCCTTCCATCCATGATCAGATCTTGTGTCTATGGGTGATGCCTTCCATCCATGTTCAGATCTCGTGTCTATGGGCGGTGCCTTCCATCCATGATCAGATCTTGTGTCTATGGGTGATGCCTTCCATCCATGTTCAGATCTCGTGTCTATGGGCGGTGCCTTCCATCCATGATCAGATCTCGTGTCTATGGGTGATGCCTTCCATCCATGATCAGATCTTGTGTCTATGGGCGGTGCCTTCCATCCATGTTCAGATCTCGTTTGCTCTCCCCCCCTGATCAGATCTTGTGTCTATGGGTGATGCCTTCCATCCATGTTCAGATCTCGTGTCTATGGGCGGTGCCTTCCATCCATGATCAGATCTCGTGTCTATGGGTGATGCCTTCCATCCATGATCAGATCTTGTGTCTATGGGCGGTGCCTTCCATCCATGTTCAGATCTCGTGTCTATGGGCGGTGCCTTCCATTCATGTTCAGATCTCGTGTCTATGGGGGATGCCTTCCATCCATGATCAGATCTCGTGTCCCTGGGCGCTGCCTTCCATCCATGTTCAGATCTCGTGTCTCTGGGCGATGCCTTCCATCCATGTTCAGATCTCGTGTCTATGGGTGATGCCTTCCATCCATGATCAGATCTCGTGTCTATGGCCGGTGCCTTCCATCCATGTTCAGATCTCGTGTCTATGGGCGATGCCTTCCATCCATGATCAGATCTCGTGTCTATGGGGGATGCCTTCCATCCATGTTCAGATCTCGTGTCTCTGGGCGCTGCCTTCCATCCATGTTCAGATCTCGTGTCTCTGGGCGATGCCTTCCATCCATGATCAGATCTCGTGTGTATGGGCGATGCCTTCCATCCATGATCAGATCTCGTGTGTATGGGCGATGCCTTCCATCCATGATCAGATCTCGTGTGTATGGGCGATGCCTTCCATCCATGATCAGATCTCGTGTGTATGGGCGATGCCTTCCATCCATGATCAGATCTCGTGTGTATGGGCGATGCCTTCCATCCATGATCAGATCTCGTGTGTATGGGCGATGCCTTCCATCCATGTTCATTTGAGAGCAGACAGACTTGTGGTTGGAGGAGATGGTACCATACAGGATTGTTACACGACTCTTTACAATGCACATGTGCAGCTCCGTGTACACTTTCCACATACACCGATCAGCCATATCCATATGACCCCTGAAGAGTGAAGTGAATGACGTTGATTGGTTACAATGGTACCTGGAAGTGTGGGGGGATATATTATGCAGGAAGAGTACACAGCCAATACAGAACTACAAGTGCCAGCAGCCCCAGTGTCCAGATAGCAGCACCCTGCGAATGTGCAACTACGTGTCACAGTGCCCAGGTAGTGGCACACAGCCAACGTGGAACTACAGGTCACAGCAGCCCCCGTGTCCAGGCTGTGGCACACAGCCAATATAGAACAACAACTCCCAGCAGCCCCAGTGTCTAGATATCAACACACAGCCAATGTGGAACTACAAGTCCTAGCATCCCCAGTGTCCAGATAGTGGCACACAGCCAATATAGAACTACAAGTCCCAGCAGCCTCAGCCTCTAGATATCGGCACAGCCAATGTGGAACTACAAGTCCCAGCAGCCCCAGTATCTAGATATCAGCACATAACCAATGTGGAACTACAAGTCCCAGTAGCACCAATGCCCAGATAGTGGCACACAGCCAATGTGGAAGTACAAGTCCTAACATCCCCAGTGTCCAGATACCAGCACCCAGCCAAAGTGGAACTACAAGTCCCATTAGCACCAGTGCCCAGATAGCAGCACCCAGCCACAGTGGAACTACAAGTCCCAGCAGCCTCAGTGTCTAGATAGCAGCACACATCACATGTGGAATTCCAAGTCCCAGCAGCTCCAGATGAGAGGACGCAGCCAATATGGAACTACAAGTCCCAGCAGTCCTGATCTCCTTTTAGTCTCCTCCTAGTGACACCCTATGGCGGTGAGTTCTGGACTGGAAGTCATTGATCAGCAGACTGACTGGCACACTGACTTTAGATAAGTCTACACCTCCCCCACCTTAGTTCAGGAGAACTCCCCCGGCTGCCAACCCGGATTGCAGGATTGTAAATAAAAGACGAGGCTTCTATTTTAGTCTGACCACGCCCAGTGTGCCGCAGAGCCCCGCCCACCAACATAGACCTCTTCCTGGTCACGCCCACACGCTAAGGACGTTCCCAGGCAGCAGCGGGAGGACACGCCCCTTTGGCTCGCTGTCTTGACGTCAGAGCCGAGCTCCAGCCTGTCAGATGCGGACGGGCGCTGGGAGGTCATGTGACTGCAGTGACGCAGCTGTCTGCAGCGACGTGGAGTGATGGCGGCTGCGATCCAGTGACAGCAGAGGAGAAACCAGAGAGCGGGAGAGACGGGTGAGAAGAGGGGGGCAGGGCTTACAGTGACACCTACCGGCCTACTGACATGACACATGACTCCGCCTCAATGCAGTGTACACTGACACCTACCTCCCCCTCGCTGCAGTGTACACTGACACCTACACCTACCTCCACCTCCTCACTGCAGTGTACACTGACACCTACCTCCTCCCCTCGCTGCAGTGTACACTGACACCTACCTCCCCCTCACTGCAGTGTACACTGACACCTACCTCCCCCTGACTGCAGTGCACACTGACACCTACCTCCCCCTCCTCACTGCAGTGTACACTGACACCTACCTCCCCCTGACTGCAGTGTACACTGACACCTACCTCCTCACTCGCTGCAGTGCACACTGACACCTACCTCCACCCCCTCGATGCAGTGTACACTGACACCTACCTCCTCCCCTCGCTGCAGTGTACACTGACACCTACCTCCACCCCCTCGCTGCAGTGTACATTGACACTCAGAATGACTGGCACTGCATCCCATAGTGCGTGTCATGCGTTTGGTATGATTTGTTTTGCTGCCACACTCCATATTGTGAACACACACACACGTGCGCGCACACACGCACGTGCGCGCGCACACACGCACAAGAGTCCTGCTTGTGGATGTCAGAGTCTTGCAATGCCTCCTGGGATTTGTAGTTCCACAACAGCTGGAGGACTGAGGTTGCCCACCCTGGACATGAATGAGGAGTTAACCCTTGCATTGCCACTGCGGGGGAAGTTTTGTTGGTTTGCCCCGAGCTTCAGTCTAATCAGAAATGTTCCTCTGGGTTACCCCGTAACAGACGAGGGATCCTGAAGGCTGCATAGAAAAGAGAGAAAACACCGGGCGCCTGACCTGGTGCAATAATCCTTAATCTGAAGAAGGGGGAAGTTCCCCGAAAACGCGTTAAGCTAGAGGAAGCGTGACTCTGCTTTCAGAGCTTTTCATCCACCGCCACAGCAGTTCATCCAGTGACGATTATCAGTCCAATTTGACATTTTTTCTTGCTCCATTTGTGAGTATATATCGTGTCTTAATATTACTTTCACCAATAAAAAGGATTATTGCCCCAGGTCAGGCGCCCCGGTCATCATGTTATGTAGAGCTGCAGCTAACGATTATTTTCAAAATCGATTAGTTAGCCGATTACTAAGTTCGATTAATCGGATAAAAAAAAAAATGGCTCCAGCGATGGACTACTAGTTTGTATTGAGATTGTAGTCCATCACAGGAGCAAGCTTGGAGCGGTGGAAGGAAAAAAAGTGTGGTTTGCAATATAGTACATTATAAAGCGGCACAGTGCAGAATACCAGCAGCTACAGAGGAATACAGCAAATCGCAGCAATAGTACATTATACTATAATGTACAATTGCTGGGATTTGTAGTCCTCCGTAGCTGGTGGTATTCTGCGTTGCGCTGTATAATGTACTATTGCTGGGATTTGTAGTCCTCTGTAGCTGGTGGTATTCTGCGTTGCGCTGTATAATGTACTATTGCTGGGATTTGTAGTCCTCTGTAGCTGGTGGTATTCTGCGTTGCGCTGTATAATGTACTATTGCTGGGATTTGTAGTCCTCCGTAGCTGGTGGTATTCTGCGTTGCGCTGTATAATGTACTATTGCTGGGATTTGTAGTCCTCCGTAGCTGGTGGTATTCTGCGTTGCGCTGTATAATGTACTATTGCTGGGATTTGTAGTCCTCCGTAGCTGGTGGTATTCTGCGTTGCGCTGTATAATGTACTATTGCTGGGATTTGTAGTCCTCCGTAGCTGGTGGTATTCTGCGTTGCGCTGTATAATGTACTATTGCTGGGATTTGTTGTACTCCTCTATAGCTGGTGGTATTCTGCATTGCGCTGTATAATGCATTATTGCTGGGATTTGTATTCCCATGTATAATATACAGCGCAATGTACCATCAGCTATAGAGGAATACAAATCCCAGCAATACATTATAAAGCACCATGTGTGGGAAAGTGCAGGCTTACCTGTCTGTCGGCGGCTGTCATCCCCCCACACCTGCTCCTCCTTACTACTTCTCCACACGTCCCTGTGCCGATCGCGGATGCGGGCGGTGAACGCGAGGCGGGGAGAAGGTGTGGCGTGTGGATGCGGGTGGGCGGGTCTGGCGGCGAGCGTGAGGTGGGGAGGAGGTGCGGCGCGCAGCGTGTGTGGAGACG